TCTCTGTCTTGAGACACAAAGCCCCCTATAAAAAAAAAAAAAAAAAAAAAAAAAAAAAGAAAGAAAGAAAGAAAGAAATACACATGCATGGGTGACCAAGATGGTAAATGCCACCGTTACTCAGGTGACCAACTTAAGCAAATGTAAATGCCTTTGGCTCCTCTCCTCCCTCCCCCGAATCCCCACAGAGGTAACTGGGCAATGCATAGAAAGGGCTGATGTTCCCATCTATCACTCTGCCCCTATTCATTGTGCATAAGTGAATGTTGCTCATAACACTGGCTGTTGCCACCACTTGGCCTGAGAGGTGTAGCCTGCTGGGCTTTTCACCTCTGATTTTTTTACATTCAGGGCACCCAAGAAGAACCTGATCTTGTTGCAAGATCACTGCTTGCCAGTCCCCATCCACCTTGGTGCCTCCTCAGTCAAATGTGTGCCCAGGCCCAAGACACAATCCCCAGTGAGGACACTAATTAACCTAGAGTAGACATCCTCACTTTGCCAACTGTGGACCACCTGAAATTGGATCTAAGTTTAGTGCCTGCATTTGATCATCTTAGTGGGGAGAGGAGTCATAGCTCTTATCGAATTCTCACAGGCATATATGACTTAAAATCTAAGAATTACTCATCTAGAAAAGAAGGTGCATCCCCTTAATAGAGACTCTCTTTCTCTCCCCTTCCCCCTTGTTATAAGCACTCATTTTTAAAAAATCAGCAACCAATGGAGAAATGTTTGAAGTAGAATGTGAAAGTTCCTTGTGATACCTATTCTATCGCCATCCACTTTAAATATTTCCCAGCTTTCTTCATGTAAATAAAAAGTATATGTACACAGATGTCATGTTCCAAGTTTATCAGCAATACACAGAACAAAGGACTTTGAAAAATATTTGTATTTCTTTTCTGAAAGAGAAAGAGGAAAAGAGAGAGGCACCCTAACAGAGTATTCACGTGATGATCCATCCTCAACTTTAGCCAGCCCAGATTACAGACATATGCATGTGTGCCTGGTGTGTACAAGGAGGTCTTAGGACATAAACCTGGGATCTTCCCATGTGAGTCCAGTTATGTTATTGCTGTCCACCCTCTGGCCCCTCAAGTTGGCATACTGTGCAGGACTTGCAATAAATCTGTACATGAATTTGAGAAATTTCATCTTTAAAAATGGGGTCTATTTATGCCACTTTTTAAAATCTTCAATAAATTTTGTTTCTTCATGTTCATTACTCATTAAGTTTATTCCTAGTATTTATTGCTTCTTTTTTTTTGTTTTTTTTTCTAAGTATGCATACATAATATTGGCAAATAGTGATCTTTCATTTCTTTTTTTCTAATATTTCTATCTTTTCTTCTTTTGTTTTTTTGCATGTTTTGCATTGACTTGGACTTCTAGAACTATGTTGAATAATAGTGATGATTGAGAGCCTCCTGATTTGTTCTGGAAATGGGAACCTCCTTAATATTTTACCATTTAGTATGATATGTTCGCTGTTTGTTTCTGATGTGTTCTTCATCTGTATATGTATGATTAAGGTCAACATCTAAAAGCTGCACTTTCATAACCCTTTCTGTACAACTGAAAACAAAATCAATTTCCTACATCACAATATTGGAGTAGAAGGAGAGTTGGAAGAGCTACCAAAAGTGCTGTGCTTTTTGAGAATAAATTGGTGAGCAAAAACAGATGCTGTTCCTGTCATAGAGACTAAATCTTAACAAAATGAGCACACATATATACAAACTGAGAAAGACATTATGAATGAAAGGGCCATTATTAATATAGTGAAATAAATGGCACAGTCTGGAGATAAGGGAAAGCTTCCTTGCTGGGGCAGAGGGAATGAAACTTTCAGATGAATGAAAGCAAGTGTCAACTAGGAAAAGAGGGAAGCAGAAAATAAAAACGTCTCAATTTCTCCTCCCCTCCAATTACTATGATAACCAATCAACTTTTATCCTAGGACAAATCCTGTGCAAACCACTGCTAGCTTTTCTGTTGATTCTTTCCAAGTTTTGTTGTTATTTCATATATATCAACAAAAACATATATATATATATATATATATATATATATGTTTTT